CGTGTGAGCATGAGGACTTAAATTGAGAACTCTGGCACCCATGTAAAAGCCAACTAAGGGTATGTATGTATGTAAGTATGTATGTATGTATGTTTGTATGTATGTATGTAAGTATGTATGTACGTATGTTTGTATTATATAGCTATAATCCCAGCACTGGTAAGGGGGAAACAGGTAGATCTCAGGCTCCTTGGCCAGCCAGCATACCTGGATTGATGGGCTCTGGGTTCAGTTGGAAACCCTATCTCAAAGAATAAGATTAGGATTGCAAAGATGACTCAGCAGTTAAGATCACTCGCTGCCCTGGCCAAGGAGCTGGGTTCAGCTCCCAGAATCTACATGGTGGCTCACAACTGTCCACCACTCTAATTCTTGGGGATTGAGCACTCTCTTCTAGCCTCTGAGGCTAATGAATGCCTATGGTATACATGCATAAAAGATATTAAGTGTTCTTAAATCTTTTATAGGGAATTTTAATGTGAAACATTATTCAACAGCAGAGTTTTGACCCTTGTAGCTAAGAGTTTAACATCTTCTTCAGTCTCTTAAACAAAGCTGTCACATACTTAAGGGGGAAAGGGTTTAATTTACTGGAAGGAAGAGGTTTCTTTTTAGGTTTTGTTTTGTTTTTGTTTTTGAGGCAGTCTTGCTATGTACTAGCTATGAAGCTAGGTTAGCGTCAAACTCACAATCCTCCTGCCTCAGCCTCTTGAGTGCTGGGGTTACAGGTGTATAGTACCACACCCAGTAATAGTAGTAGCTGAACATATAATGCAAGCATATTATGGGCATTTATTCTTAAATTTAAAAAAAAAAAGTTGAAAGAGGTTGAGAAGTCACCTGACATCAGTCTTTGGCCCTTACACACATTCACATAGTGCCAAGCACACACATACACACCACACACACATACGTACACACATACACACATGCCACACACACACATATGTTCACACACTCATACACGCACACACTCGTATGCACACACACACATACTCATGCATGTCTGTACATACATACCTCCACATGCACCCCCACACATATGCACTCATACACATACTCTCTCACATACACGTAACACACACATACAACAATTAATCAGAGTTAATTTTTTAAAAAATGTAAGGGAGGAAAAAAAAACCTAAATGGTTTTAGTCTGTTCTCTGCTTTATAGCTCTTCTGGGGGCTTTCTGGTTAGTTGACAACAGGATTCATCATCAGGACAGCGACAGAGCCACATGTGACCATGCGGACCCTTCAAACGGTGATCATAATCAGGGAAGCAGCTGTAGTTCTGGACCTCCAGGGTCCCAGCCCACCTCATGGCTTAGCTCCCTGGGAAGCAGTAACGAATTAAGAGGTCATCTAGTAATTCCTAGGGATAAGCTTTTGCAACTATAAATAAATATGTAGAATAAAAGGAACACGGAAAAGAAAAACAGAGAGAAAAGGGACATTTACAACCGGACTTGATTTTATTGAGAAATTAGCATGAAAATGCCCTTGTGCAGTGATTCCATTCAAACCCAGGAGAATTCTTCCAAACTCACTGTCAGTCATAGTCAGTTTTTGGTGTGCCTCCTGGGCTGAAGGTCACTGGTTCTAGGAGGTGAAGTGTGGCGATGGAGTGCTTTTTGTGTGTTCCTGTCAAGCAGGAAGAAAGAGCCTGAAGGTCAGGCTGACCAAGCACTTTCCTTTGAGGAGAGAATCCACAGTTGGCCTGGAGAAGGTCCTAGGAAGGGTAGGGGCAAAGCTAGCTCTGAAGAAAGCTCCATCAATCCTTCCTAAGTTGCCACATGTATCACTAAATGCCCTGGACATGCCCCACCATGGGCAAAGCTCTGGCCCTACTTCAATGGCGTTGTTGGGTCCGTGTGAGCTGCAGTGTACCATCGGGAATGCTGGGATGGGAAGGCTGTGTTTTATTGGCTTTTCCCTCCCGTGGTTTTCACCATCTGCGTTTTTAACTGCATAAACAAGGAAAAATGACTGGTTTGGAATGCAGAGTTTTATACACCAGATGACCACAGGCATCCTCTAAATGAGAAAGAGAGAGCAAGTCGGGGTTCTGTGACATTTGTTAGGAAGTGGAATGGTAAATACCAAGAAGCCTGTGTGTGCCCTGCCAGGAAAGGGCCACGAAAGCAAGGGACAGATTGGTCCCTGTCCCTCTCTTAAGGGTCATGTCCTGCCTGGTTTCCCCAATACCACACTCAGACACCAGCCCTGCCTCCCTCTTCCTCCCTGCTCGCCAAGATGAAGAGGGATGCAGGACTTCAGCTTAATCAGGATTAGTTCACTAGCATCCCTAACTTGGCAGCTTTGCACACCACCCATTCTTAGGAGCTTCCACATTCAACAAAAGCTGAGTTGTGAGTAGGTTCTATTACAAAGCTAAATAGAGAGCTACAAATGGAGAGTCTACGAGATCTTCATATCTCTTCTGCACGATGGTAAGTGCAAAAACAAACAAACAAACAAACAAAACAAAAAAACAAAACAAAAAAACAAAAAAAAACCATAAATGGCATTAAAGGATTTTAGCAAACAGGCCCCTGCTTTATGAAGGAGTATTTACTGTGCACAACACAATGGCTCCCTCATAAAATGGTTCCGTCCCTCTCTGCCAACAAACTTAAAGCGCTGAGTTCCTTTTCTAAACCCGAGACAATGGAGAGACTGGGTGGAAATGTTTGCTGCATACTAATCTCCTTTACCTTCAATGTAAGAAATAATCAGTTGTAAGCATCAGGCATTTTAAACAAAATTGGACAGGGAGGTTTTAGAGCCCCTGGGGTATGGACACTGTCGCACTTGGCTACGTTCCATTCTGTTCAGCTTGAGATGGACGGGGGCATTTTTCACATAGTTTTATAGGCAGCCTGATGCCTGAGCTTTCATGTTAAAGGGTGAAAGATGAAGGCCTCCTGGGAACAGATAGCTCCTCCTAATTTTTGATGTTTCTTCTCAAATACATGGTGGGCAGTTTTTGACTGTTAATGGTTTGGGAGTGGGGTGCTCTGGTATAAAAAAAAAAAAAAAAGTAAGACTGGGCAATTTTAAAGCCCTGGGAAGAACGAATGAATTGAGATGAAATTATGTCTCTACCCTGCTTAAAACTACCAATCAGTACCTAGCCATGCATAAGAGTCTACAGTGGGTAAAGTGCTTACTGTACAAACGCAAGGCCCTGAGTTCAGATCCCAACACACATGGGAAAGCATATGCCAATAATTGCAGTGCTGGTATGGGCAGAAGAGACAGGCAAATCTCAGGGTTTCCCAGGTCAGCCAGTCTGACCAAGTGGTGAACTCTAGGTCAGTGTGGAGACCCTGTCTCAATAAAATAGAGTAGAGAGAAATAGAAAACGATACATGAAGTTAGTTAACTGCTGCTATCCACGTGTGCCTATACCAGAGAGTGCATCCACATAGACACTAGCAGGAAGGAGAGAAGAAGGGAAGAGGAGAGAGGGAAGAAAGGAGGGAGGAAGGGAGGGAGGGAGGGAGGGAGGGAGGGAGGGAGGGAAGGAGGGAAGGAGGGAGGGAGGAAGGGAAGGAGAGTGAACAGGCCAGCCCACTAGGTAAAATTCTGTTGGCTAACTTTGACTCTAGATGCCAGAGTTCATGGTGAGTTCATTTGACTTCTAACAATGACTGGATGGAGGTGCAGTGGGGATATCTGCTTTCCCTGGTGGAAATGGGAAAATGATTAGAAACTAGAGGTCAGGCTACTTCCCAGCTGAGCGTCTGAGGGTTTCCTCACCAGCATGGTTCATCCTCTGCAGCATGGCTTCCACATCAGAGGAGATAACCAGCTGCAATCAAAAATTATTTAGAAAGTAATTGTATCTGCAATGAAGATATGTGACCTTGTGACATTGTTCCCTAAATAATACTGCATACCATCTATTGACTTGGTGTTCATATGGTGTTTATATAGCATTGTAGACCATAAAATCATCGGGAAAGGTTTTGAAGTGTGTCTGAGGATACATGGAGGTTACATGCAAAACACAGCACCCCATGGCCTTTAGCATCCAAGGATGTTGGAACCGGGTCTCCTGTAGACACTGGGAGGAACTGTGTTTCCCTTGTCTCATAAAGTAAAGTGAACATTCCCAGGCAATTATAAGAACAGGACTGTTCATCCATGGCTTTGTAAAAGGATTAGGGTGACCTGTGGGATTTTCAGTTATAATCATAATAATAATTTCAGATAAAGAGGCATACTGGGGCAGGCATGAGAGGAATTTTAAGTGGCCAAACTATTTGTTTATGTTCTTTACAAAAGCCTTGGAGTCTCGTAAAAAAAAACTGTAGTGTTGTACTTTCGCCACTCCAAAAAGATCAGCTAAGACTTTCATAATTTTTTTCATTTTATATGTATGTGCATGATGTTTTGAGATATATGTATACATGTACATGTATACATATATCTCAAAACAATACATACATATTGAGATATATGTATACATATACATATACATATACATATACATATACATATACATATACATATACATATACATATACATATACGCACCACACAAGTTCTTGGTGCTGTTGGGGGTCAGAAGAGGGTACCAGTGCCCCTGGGACCGGAGGTGCAGATGGTTGTAAGCTGCCGTGTGGGTACTGGGAACCAATCCCAGGTTCTCAGTAAGAGTAGCAAGTGACCTTAACTGCTGATCTCTCTCTCCAGCCTGACTTTCATAACTTAAACACATCTCCTTGAATATAGGGAATTAAGACTCTATTGATGAACTTTGATCAGATTTTTGGAAAATTCTTAAGAAAGGAAATAAAGACCATATTCTGACCTTGTATCTTCCTTTCTTCTCCTCCCTTCATAATTTTTTTCCTTTCCTTCCTTCCTTTTCTCTCCTTTCTCTCCTCTCTATGGGGGATTGATTAGGGGTGTGTTCCTCAACACAGACTAACAGGTATGCTAAGGACTCAGGGCTGTTGTTTGACGTCTTTGTGTATTCTCACCCGCAGGTGATCACCCCAGTGAGGACAGGCCATGGCTATGTATATGAATACCCATCCAGATACCAAAAGGATGTCTACGATGTCCCTCCTTCCCACACCACTCAAGGGGTAGGCAATGGGAACATTACCAGGGGAGCTGGTTTTGGGGGCAGCATATCTTCAGGAACATACAAGAGAAGAGGGATACCAGCCACCACCTTACCTTGTGGAAGTTGCCTGTCCAGAGGCCATTTTAGTTGGTGTTACTTAAATTTTATTTCTTAGGTTTGCCTTATCAGAAAGTCTAGTCTTTTATCTGAGAAATTTCTCATCTGCTTTATCAGTTTGTCATTTTTTTTCTGGAAGTGTATAATTTAAATGATCTAAATTATAGAGCAGATAGGTCAGGTAAGATTGTTTTCACATTTAACCTAAATCAAAGAATGCAAGATTCATGAAGAAAACATCCATAAGCCCCTGATGGCATGGAATGCTACTAACGACCAAGTCTGTGTATGACCTGATGAATAAATACTTAAGGAAACAATAGCAGGGGACTTCCATGGAGCAGCAGATTCCATTGCATTCTGGGTAACTCACGTGTTTCTCTTCAGGTATATGACATCCCTCCTTCATCGGTAAAAGGTCCTGTGTTTTCAGTTCCAGTGGGAGAGATAAAACCTCAAGGGGTATATGACATTCCCCCCACCCAAGGGGTAAGTGAACTGCTAAAGCACAGTATGTGGATGGGGGGGGACGTGTCATAGTTCACTGGGATAAAACAAGAATGGCAATTCTAAAAGGGAAAAGGAGAGAAAGAGGGAGGGGAGCAAGGGAGAGAAGCAAGCCATTATAATTACAAATTGAGAGAGTCCTCAAAAATATGAAGACGTCAATAATGAGAGTCCATTGGAAAGGGAGACAGTACGTTCAGCTTGGCAATAGTTTCTAGCACATCACATATTTCTAGCAGGGTCTACAGCTTCTTTAGTGTCTACATAAGAGGTAGCTCATTTGATTTTCTGTCCTCTTCTGGGCATGCTTGCACTTCAAGTGCAGTCAGCTTTGCTGAACAGATAGAGAATTGTGCTTTCAAATACAAAGAAGACCCAGGCAGCTTCACACACACCAGGCAGCCTGATGACCGAGAAGGGAACACAGGTCTCTCGGCACAGTGTATCAGTGTCTCCTGTCTCTCAGCATGGACCAGCCTGAGTAGGATAGTCAGCGAATGGTTGGAAACATGATACTGCAACCCAGTGGTGAGCAATTTAGCTAGGAGAGAGGGCTCTACACCAAAGCTAGCACTGAGAATGGTAAAGGATGCTCAGGTGTAAAGATGAGGGCACACATCCTCTAAGGAGCACGCTGCATGCTGGGAAACATCTGAGGTTAGTAAATGGTGGGAGGAGAGGAAGACGATCTAGTGAACAGGGCAGTGAACTCTGGACCACACCTTCATGGACTATTCATTTTCTGCCTCCATTCAAGTCTCAACTGAACAAATAAAGTAGCTATTTATTTACTTTTTAAGGTCTATGCCATTCCACCATCGGCTTGCCGAGATGAGGCAGGGCTCAGGGAAAAGGAATATGATTTTCCTCCTCCAATGAAACAAGATGGAAAGCCAGACACTAGACCTGAGGGAGTTTATGACATCCCTCCAACCAGCACCAAGACAGCAGGGAAAGACCTTCACATCAAATTCCCTTGTGATGCTCCAGGAGGTGCAGAACCAATGGCACGAAGACACCAGAGCTTTTCCCTGCACCATGCACCCTCTCAGCTGGGACAATCTGGGGACAGTCAGAGTGATGCATATGATGTCCCCCGGGGAGTTCAGTTTCTGGAGGTACCAACAGAAACCAGTGAAAAGGCAAATCTGGAGGAAAGAGACGGTGTTTATGACGTCCCTCTTCACAACCCAGCAGATGCCAAAGGCTCTAGGGACGTGGTAGATGGGATCAACAGACTGTCTTTCTCCAGCACTGGCAGTACCAGGAGTAACATGTCCACATCTTCCACCTCCTCAAAGGAGTCCTCATTGTCAGCCTCCCCATCTCAAGACAAAAGGCTCCTACTGGACCCAGACACGGCCATTGAGAAGCTCTATCGGCTCCAGCAGACCCTGGAGATGGGTGTGTGCAGTCTCATGTCACTAGTCACCACAGACTGGAGGTGTTACGGGTACATGGAAAGGCACATCAATGAGATCCACACTGCAGTGGACAAAGTGGAACTGTTCTTACGAGAATACCTCCATTTTGCCAAGGGAGCTTTAGCCAATGCCTCCTGCCTCCAAGAACTGGTCCTCCACAACAAAATGAAGCGGGAACTCCAAAGAGTAGAAGATTCCCACCAGATTCTAAGCCAAACCAGCCATGATTTGAATGGATGCAGCTGGTCCTTGAATATTTTAGCTATTAATAAGCCCCAAAATAAGTGTGATGATCTAGACAGGTTTGTGATGGTAGCCAAGACAGTGCCAGATGATGCCAAGCAACTGACCACTACCATCAGCACCTACGCAGAGACCCTCTTTAGAGCAGATCCTGGCAATTCCCCGCTAAAGAGTGGGCCCGACAGCATCATGAACTCAAGCGAGTACACACATACAGGCTCCCAGATGCAGCCACTGCGCCCTGGTGACTACAAAGCCCAGGTCCACAATAAGCCATTGCCTCCTACTCTAAGCAAGGACCAGCCACCAGACTGTAGTAGCAGTGACGGTTCAGAAAGGAGTTGGATGGACGATTATGATTATGTCCACCTACAGGTAAGGAAACCAGACCTATATACCTCCCAAACTCAGGGCTGACGTCCATAAGGCTGTGAGGCTGGACAAACAGCAAAACATGTTAATCCAACTGTTGTGAGAACTGAGGGTGATGTTGTACAAAAACTGTACAGCCACTTTAACTTCCATGGACCTTAATTTTACTTTGAGAATGAATTAACTCACATGGTTGTATGAAGTCTCATTGATACACCTCAGGAAAGCTGGAGGAGACTCATCAATGTAGTTGACTGGTGAGTCCATGAGTCATAGAATCAGTTCTTCCTCTCCGTGTGTTTATGGTACACGTCCATGGGACAGCTCATCATATTAGAAATAAGTTTAAATATGTATCACTGTCAATTTAAAAAAAACTTGAAAATATCTGCACATAGAGAGTTTCTAAGGCTCTCTTTCAGCCTACAGTGTGTGCATATGTGTATGTGTGTATGTGTGTCTGTGTACATGTGTGTGTTTAGCTGCTTACAAAGACACATAGCTCCATCAGATCCAGAGGAACCTGTGATCCTTTGCCAGTTGGCCAACAGCTTGATCCACAAATATTAAAATCCACAAACTGCTTCCTATAAGTATAAACTGTGCTAGTTCCCACATTGACCTGGAATCCTAAAGGCTTCCCTGTTTGCTTTGAAGAATTTCAGCACTCTACCAGAATCCATTACTTAGTATTTGGCTTAGTGCTTTATGTTGCTATTCTTTTCCATTGGACTGAGAGCAATGAATTATGCTGAAAACTGTTAAAATATCAACAGCCCCCAGATGCAAGAGAGTAGAAAGGAGCAACTGAACCACGTCTTATGCTGAGGAATGGCTGAAGTTAGAGGAAGGCATTTAACATTCATCTCACTGGTCTTCTGATGCTGTAGACTGGAGAATACTAAGGATGAGTAGAGAGATACAGGACAGTCAAAGAAATTGGAAGTGAAATATGCATGCATTTTTAAACTTTTGTTTGGAAGCACATGGCTCACATACAATTGATTTAAAAAGAACCATGTAAAAAAATAATGCTTCTTAAGGTGTGAAGAGGATTCTGGGAAGCTCTCCAACTAGAACTAGCAGTGAGCCTGGCAGCCCACATAGAAACAGGCTTCACGTTTCAGCCTGTCTCCACAGTAATTTCAGAAGTCCCTAATCTGTGGTTTACAATGTGTAACTGGACATGAGGAAAGTGGCTAATGAGGGTCTGAGTACACTTGTCAGTGAATCTGTTACCATAAGTGACTCACAGCAAGGGGGTAATATGGTCTTTGTGTTGCAAACAACAGGGCAAGGAGGAGTTTGAAAGACAGCAGAAGGAGCTCTTGGAAAAAGAGAACATCATGAAGCAGAGCCAGGCGCAGCTGGAGCATCATCAGGTAGGTTGAACACACCAGGAAGGGCTCCACTGGGTAGGCAATGGGTAACTTCCAAAGATTGGGGTTCTACCATCACACTGGCATGAAGAAGGAAGTCCCAGGCATGTAATAGGACATGAGAACAAAGTGAAGGCGTGTGGCCTGTGACTTCAGCTGAGTATGCCTGGATGCATCCACATGGCAGGGTTTGTTCAGACTGTGCCTGTTCATCTATCACCTATTAAGACTTTTTGGGTTAAAGCTTTTGGTCTCAAGACACAAGACAAGTCAGGCAAGCCCAAGCTAATTGGTTTTCCATTGAGATCAAAGTAAGGGAATTCAGGAGAAGGAGATACAGCAAGACCAAAGGGAGCAAGGGCTGTCTATTCCCCTTGCTTTTCTCTTGGTTCTCTTCTGAGACCTGCTTCATTCTCTACTATCTGACATTTTCTCTAGTCGCTTCACTTGGTTCCCATCTAACTTTCTAAAACTCCTAAGTGGCCACTCAAAGCCCTTCCTATAGGGCTTTGTGGTATTCTCTAATGCTTTGAGATAAGTTCTCACAATGCAGTCCAGACTGGTTTCAAACTTGGTATTCTCCTGCCTCAACCTCTTGCGTGCTGGCCTTGCAAGTGTGTGCATTGCACCTGACTTCAAAACCTTCTCTGTAGATGACACTTCATCTGGGATTCCTTAGATAATGGTCAACTCCCTTCTGTGCTTATCAAATTCCTAAGAGAGTTTGATTCTACTCTCTCCTCAACCACATCCCTCTCCCTCTCTTTTGCATGGTCTATTCTAAGGGTCAAAGGGAAGGAGCCAATGTTTGTGAGACATATCAAAGTTCATTTACCAAGAGTTCTGATCAGGGGGTATCCACTCAAAGGTTTAGTGAGTACAGCAGGTAAGAATAGATATTGTTAAGCAAGGACATGAAAAGAAAGAGAAATGGACTGAAGATTTATGTGCTCTTTAAGATGAAATGAAATAGTGTATCATAACATGAAGTGACAAGATGACTCTAGGAAACCTGAGTTCTTTAGCCAACAGCTTTCTAACCATCAGCTGTGTGGACTTGAGCATCATGTAATGGGCCAGTTCCTTTGCTATAAAACGGAAAAGTATTACCCTCTATGGACACATGATTTGAAATCAAATTATCAAATAATATTAGGACACCACCCTATATCTACTATGCTTACATTGGCAGCGGCCCAACACGACAACAGAGTTTGGGGAAACTAGCAGACACTAAAGTAATTCCTAAGAAGCAAGTAGTTGCCATGGAATAGAAAATCAACTATGCACTTCTTAGCTAGGAAGCAAGATAAGGGTGTCCCTGAACTGAGTCAGCTCTGAATCAGGACAAGAGATTAACTGAGTCTCAAACTCAGGATTCTTAGTAACATAGCTAGAAATTATCATTTTCATTTGAAGTAAGAGTCCAGTTAGGGATGCTAATGATAGCATCAAGAAAGCTGGTACTAAGGCTGTTGAGATGGTTCCGTGTAAGGACGCTCTCGCCCCCTCCCCATGACCCTAGTTTGAGCCTTAGAAACCACACAGCAGAAGGAGAGAATCAGTGCCTATGAAGGGTCCTCTGACCTACACATGCATGCTATAAAATATGGCAAATAATAAATGCTGAGATTTCTTTGTTGTGTCATTTTCCCTAAGTCAGTGTGCATTTCTAAGGCTTCTCAGCAGTAATGGACCATAGTGTACATCTCAACAGTGCAAATAGGAGAGTGAGTCTTGATGAATTTCATCTTTAAGAGAGAGAAAGGGCCTTGCCAAGGAAGTAACAAACTGTTGATTTATTTGAGAGAAAGGTCACTACATCTGGTTTTCCCTTGCAGCCTCTCAACATTTAAAAAACATTTACATAGAGCCTAAAATTCACCAAACACTGTTTCAAACACTTTGCAAATAATAATAATATTCACTTTGTGAATAATAGTATTTTATTGAGCCCTCATAATGACATAGAAGGTGAAGCTGTTGCCTTTCAATCATAATGCAAAAAACAGACAAATGGTGTCATAACAGAAGGTCTATGCTGGTGGATCCCCTAGGGATCCTCTTCCCAGTGTCTACATAGTACAATTTAGGAAGCAAGGCATCCGGGGCAAAGTCTCACAGTTCCTAAGTACCTGCCATCTACTAAGGATGAAGCTGGTATCTTTTGACCCCACACCTACATTTTTTTCCCTTTACAGTGTATGCCTTGCTCTTAATGAAATCTGTTCTCTTCCTTCTAGCTGAGTCAGTTCCAGCTGTTAGAACAAGAAATCACCAAGCCGGTGGAGAATGACATCTCTAAATGGAAGCCCTCTCAGAGCCTCCCAACCACAAACAACAGTGTGGGTGCTCAAGATAGGCAGTTACTTTGCTTCTACTATGACCAGTGTGAAACCCATTTCATCTCCCTCCTCAACGCCATCGATGCCCTCTTCAGCTGTGTCAGCTCAGCCCAGCCCCCACGGATCTTTGTGGCCCACAGCAAGTTTGTCATTCTCAGTGCACACAAACTGGTGTTCATTGGAGACACTCTGACAAGGCAGGTGGCTGCCCAGGACATTCGCAACAAAGTCAGAAACTCCAGCAACCAGCTCTGCGAACAGCTCAAGACGATAGTGATGGCGACCAAGATGGCCGCCCTCCACTACCCCAGCACTACGGCCTTGCAGGAGATGGTGCACCAGGTAACAGACCTGTCCAGAAATGCTCAGCTGTTCAAGCGTTCCTTGCTGGAGATGGCCACCTTCTGAGGAGACAAGGAAGTGGAAAGGACTTGATGACTAATTACTAAGGAAAACTGGAAATACTATCTAGTTTTTGTAAATGCTATCTATTTTTGTAGATATTTTATATGAAAATGAAATGTTTTAATGTTTTGTGAGTTAGTTGATTTTCATCAATTCAGGGAGCTGAAGTGGGAAGTTGTTTTGTTTCCCCTGTGTGGTTCATATATAAACATATAAGTATCTAAGACAGTTGTACAGAAATGTGTCCACATTTGTGTATGCCTGTGTATCCCTATTTGTTTATAGATGTGTGTCTGATTCAGTCCATTAAAAACATGAATTGAGAAGCACCTTAGTAAGCACCTTCTAATGCTGCATTGTTTTGGTTTTGTAGAAAATTATACCACTTAGTTGTAATATTGCTCTACATGTACTAGTAGTGGTCTGAGCCTTGCACACCTACCTTTCTTGTCTGAAACCTCTTTCAAACTTGACTTGTCTTTAACACAGTGGTAAATCTGACCAACCTCTGGTTGAAGGGGGGGGGGGAGAAAAGGGAGAAGGGAGAGGGAGAGAGAGAGAGAGAGAGAGATTCAAAAAATACATTAATCGTGTGCTGGAGAGAGGCAAGACATGTGTGCTGTACTAAGAAGCCATGTCTACAGTGGTTATAGTGTTATTTCAATTCTGAAAGGAACTACAATAAAGAAAGAACACTTGTTTCCCGGGGGCTACATTTGTGAGTGATTCACTCATGAGGTTTTCTAAAGGATATTTTTGGAGTTGAATATAAAAAAAAAATTACAAGAATTCATGGAGATACATCAGAACTCTGTGGAAAAAAAAGAAGGGATGTTTCCAATGGCCAGTAGTTAAAGAAAGACCTCTCTACCCTCATTGTCTAATGGAAATGGCCGGTTCCTTAGACACTGAACTATGGAGCCACCAGGCTCTGTCCTGCTCTCTCATTGCTTGATGGATCCTTTACCCTTCTAAAGACTTATGTAAGCAGACCAACACTCAGAACAGTTGCAGAGATCTGACCTTCACATCCCACTGTGGCCATGGACCTTGTGGATAAGCCACATTGCCATTTGTCAGCTAGTCACAGCATTGATCCTGTGATCTGTCCCTTCACATCTGCTGTGTGGATACAGTCTAGGCACCAGATTCATCATTGGCAGATAAACTGCTTCCATCTTCCTTTATGACCAACTCAAGAAATATGTTTCTTGTAGTCTCTTCTATTTCATTCCAGCCTATTTGGAAATGTGTCTTTATTTGTTATGGGTGTCTTGATTGAGTTAATATTATTTGTTTTAAAGAACCAAATTACAAAGACAAGGAGGGGCTTATGAAGAACTTGTGATCTCAATGTGATTTTTTTTTTAATAAATGGAAGATATCAAAGGAAAGGTGCTTTTCCAAAACAAACTATAATTGTAATTCTCAAAGTTCTACATCACCAGAAGATGAACAGCTGAGCTATTGGACAATAATTCACTGTGTCTGGCTTGTGGAGGAAGAGGGTCCTGTAGCATCAGTACCATTGTAAGAAGTCAGGAAGGGTATGCTTGTAGATCTTACTACACAATGTGTATCTGTTGGGTGATGGCTACCTTGTCCTAACCTGAGTGATAACATTCCACATTGTAAAAACCAAACTATTCAATTTGTATTGCTCATTGCCATCTTGTATATTCAAGCCATTAAATGTTTGGATCTTTCTCTTTATAGCCACTTGGTTTCTTTTCTTTGTATCTCTCTTACTGCAGAATTAAATATTGATCCATCTGAGTATAGAAAGTCAAATTATGATTTTTAAATGTATGCTATAGATCTGATTGCTTTTAAGGGAAAATGTGTGTATGTTACCCCAGTAGCTTTGTATTGAAGAAAATTCTAGAGCATGTGAATAGCATCAAATTAAATATCTGAAATTATTATTTTTTTTCAGTATCAAATGCCCACAGACAGGAGTTAACTCCATAGTCATAGCTGGCCTGGAACTCTTTATGTGGACCAGGCTGGCTTTGAAGTCACAGAGATTGGCCTGTCTCCACTTCCAGGGCGATTGTATTAAAGGTGTGACCCACCACATCTGGCTACAGCACTCACACATTTAATGTGGGCAGGATGATTTCTGTTTCTACTCTGTGGCTATAGCTACTCAAGTAGAGTAGACTCTTTTCATTTGTTATGGACTAGGTATAAAGAAATGATTCAAAGCAAACTATATTAGAAGAAAAAGATTCCTAACCACAAGAATTACTACGGGCCATATTATGAGACATACTCCTTTTAATGTCCCTCCCTTTTATTCAGATAGCCCTCCGAGATGTAGAAAGCACTTTAATATGTTTGTGCACTAATTATTTTTCTTGTAATGGCCACGAAGTTTCTTAGAAGCAGTGGAGGAGAGATTTCTCTTGACTTGCACTTTAGGGGGCAGTCTGTCCATCCTGGAAGGTCTGGATATTGGCTTTGTTCCTGGCAGTGAGAGCTTGCAGCATGGCTTGCTAGCATCTTGTTGGATCAAGAAGCAGATTAGAGGGCTCAGTCAGGCTGCAAGTAGAGCTAGTTTAATACTCATGAGGCCCACATCCACTCTAGGATCTTTGTCTATAGCGTATCCACAACCTAACAAAATAGTGCTGATGGCTGAGAACCCAGTGTTCAAACACGCGCATCTGTGGGTGAGATTTCAATGTCAAACCACAACACCTGTATAATTTTGTCTATATATAAAGGTGGTAAATGATTTTTGACAAAAATAACATATGCCAGTGGGTGAGATAGAATATCTTTTGGGCAGCAGGGTGGGTGAGGATGTGCTAAATCGACAAAATCACTCTACTGAGAAAAATAAATATTTACCTTATATCCTGAACAAAAATTAACTTACAAGGAACAGAGACCTAAAACTCTCAAACTTCTAGGAAAAAAATGTAGGAGAAAAATCTCATGATCTTAAGTAGGTTAGCTTCATAAATAGTTAAAAATAATCCATAAATATCATCAAACTTAAAAATATTTACACTTGTGACTGGAGAAGACTCAGCAGTTAAGAGCACTGACTGCTTTTCCAGAGGACAGGATTTCAGTTCCCAGCACCCACATGGTGGCTTACAAACTGTCTATAACTCCAGTTCTACAGGATTCAACACTGTCTTTTGGCCTCTGTGTGTACTGTGAACTGCACTCTCATGGTGCACAGACATCCATGCAGGAAAAGACACTCATACACATAAGACAGAAGTAAATAAATATTTTTAAAATATTTACTCTTCTAAAGAGACTGTTAAGAAAGCAAAATAAATTCTGGACATGACATGGTCTCGTTCTCAAGAGTTCACTGCAGCTATGGTGGTCTATACAAGACCAAGCCAAGAAGATTAGATGGCATCACACAAGGCAATGCTAATTGGACCCGATGAACCAAACAAACAAAATAGGAGAGGACGTGAAATTCATAGTGAGGCTTGTTAGAAATACCTGTGACAGGGAAATTGGGTATGATCAAAATACATTGTTGTCAAATAATAAATAAAAGATATTCTGCTTCAAAGAAAGATTGATTGATTGGCTGGTTGGTTGGCTGGCTGGCTGGCTGGCTGGCTGGCTGACTGACTGACTGGTTGGTTGGTTGGTTGGTTGGTTGGTTGGTTGGTTGGTTGGTTGACTGGTTTGGTTGGTTGGTTGGTTGGTTGGTTGGTTGGTTGGTTGGCTGGCCGGCTGGTTGGTTGGTTGGTTGGCAGGCATGGTTCAATAGGTGAAAGCTCTTGCCCCATAAGCCATCTGAGTTTGAATCCCAGAACCCACAGTAAAAGGAGAGGACTGAGTCCTGAAAGCTAACCCCTGATCTCCACACAAGAATCTACACTTTCTCACACTCACATATACACTCACACACTCATATCATACGTACCCACAAGGATATTAAGTGAAATTTTAAAAAGAAAACAAAATTCAAGCCTCATTGCAGTCAAAAGGCTTGTGCCACAGACAGCAGCCAGGGGCTGAATGGGGTAAGAGAGCAAGTATTTTAATGAGGCAAAAATTCCAAGAAGAAACTTCACAAGATAAGACATAAGAATGGGTAATAAATAAACTAAATAAAAACCACACCAAATGCAGTGATTGAGGAGACAAACTTGCAAATATTAGTGATAGAAGGAAGAAAACATCACCCTCATAAACCCTGGCAAGAACGTGAACTGGGAAATGGACTGCTAATCAAAACCAAAGCTTTGCTGCCTGTATTAGCTACTAATCCTCTCCTATGTATTTAACCAAGAAAAATTAAATGCATGCATACAAAGTCTTATGTAATAATTCATTGAAGTTCTGTATATAGCAATAAAAGCCAGCAACAACCCAAAGGTCCATCTTTGCGAAGGTACAAAGCTATTCCTATCTACCCATGCAGTGGAGCAGGCCTGGCTTGAGTTGGTTTTATTGACCATGACCCAAGCTAGAACTATCTGAGAAGAGAAAAACACAATTGAGAAAATCCTCCATCAGACTGGCCTGCAGCCAATACTATGGACTATTTTCACACTTAATGATTGATATAGGAAGGCCCAGACCATTGTAGGTAATGCCGCCCCTGGGCAAGTGGTTCTAAAGTGTGTAATAAAGCAGGCTGAGCAAGCTATGATGAGAAAGGCAGAAGCACTTCTCCATGGCTTCTGCTTCAGTTCCTGCCCCCAGGACTACAACTATAAGCTTAAAAGAACCCTTTCCTCATCAAGTTGGTTTTGATCATAGTACTTTCTCTCCCTCTCTCTCTCTCTCTCTCTCTCTCTCTCTCTCTCTCTCACCCACACACACACACACACACACACTCACACACACACACACACACACACACACAAATAGACAAAATAAAAACCCAACATGGACAAATTTCAAAATCACTATGATGAAAATAAAAAGACCAAAAACCCCATAGTAAGTGCTATAGTCCCAGTCCTACAAGGCTTTAGAGACTGAACACCCCAGGCTATGCTGTATTCCATGCCTGTAATACCAACACATAGAAGATGAACACAGAACACAGGAGTTTGAGGCCAGACTCAACTGGAGTCGGATTTGAAAAAGCTGATGTATAATTATAGAATATCAGTAGCTACCTGGGGAGAGAGGGGTGGGAGGTATTGGTTTCTATGGAGCCCGGGAGAGGGCAAATGATGGGAAATGTTCATCCTCTAGATGTTGTGGATGATTTCACACATGTGCAGGCTCATCAAATAATACAGTACTGTATGCACACTTCAGCCTTCTTAAAAATCTCTAAGTAAGTAATCACGATACTTCCATTAAAAAATGAGAGAGTCAAAGTGTAGCTCTCCAAGGTTGACGGCTTCTGGTGGGCACACAGGTGGAGAAGGACTCAGGTTTCTTTAGGGGATGGGCCTTGAGGAGTTTGACGATGTTCTGGTAAGTACATGGACAACACTGATTAGACTTTGTTTGTTTGTTTGTTTGTTTGATTGATTGATTGTTTGTTTGAGGGGTTGGGTCACAAGGGTCAGGGAGTGGACATAGAAGGAATGAGAAGCAATGTGTGAAAGTTCCAAAGAATCAATAAAAATATTATTTTGGAAAAAAAAAACAAGAGAATCTTAGACTAAATTTTTTTTAAAGTAAGGCTGTTTAAAAGCACCCAATTTAAGTGAAAATACACAGATAACAGCAAAGGAATGGGAAGAAATATGCAATGCACATTCTAGCTGTAGATTAGAAAGGCCAGGACAGCTGTGTTATAACAAGTGGACTTCAGCACAGAGCCAAAAGGCACATGTCGTGATGCAAGAATCAGTGTACAAAAAAAGCAAAGCCTTCCTAAATATCTACACACCCACTCACAAAACTTCAAAACACAAGAAGCAAAAACTAACAGAGCTAAATGTAAAAAGTACAACTCCATTATGGTAGGCGGAGATGCCGGCATTTCTCTATCAGTATCAAATAAACAAGAAAACAAAAAAGAAAGCAGTAATAACTGGTAATAACAGAACTCTGGCAGGCCTCCTGGGCAGATATAAAATGGCATATCCACTACAGAAGATGTTCGACATATAACCTAGCAATTCCAATCCTAAATACTTATGAGAAGCTAAAACAGACCTCTAATTATTTTATTTGTCATTTTTAAAATATGTTATGTGTAGGATGTTTGGCCTGAATGTGGATGTGTAACATGTTGATACCTGGTTACAAGGAGGCTAGGAGAGAGCATCTGGTTCCTGTCATTGAAGTTACCGATGGTTGTGAGACTCCATGTGGATTCTGAGAACTGGGGCCAGGCCCTCTGCAAGAGCAGCCAGTGCTCTTAACTACTGAGCCATCTCTCCAGCATTCCTATTTTTACTAATTATAAAATATTTAAAAGCAGTTGCTTTTGGGCCAGTGAGACAGTCTAGAAGGTAAGAATGCTTGTTATTGAACCTGACAACCTGAATTTGACCCCAGACCCCACAGGGTGGAAAGAGAGAATCAGTTTCCACAGTTGTGGCATGTGTGAATGTGTGTACACATAACACATAAAATCAGTAAACATGCGAGAAGGGTTTATCAACTCTTTTTAAAATTATAATTATATCAAAGTGGAAACGGCCCAGAAGTCTCCAACAAGTGACTGGATAAATAAACTGTGGTGGAATACAATTCAGAAATAAAAATCTGTGAACTAATTTACATAATAGTGTTATTGAATCAACCTGAGCAAAAC